ACCCTGGCCCCAGAGACATGTGGGAAATGTAGTTTGATGGGGGTCCAGTGTGGACGAGATCTGGATGGCCGGTCCACGGTCCATGCGCGCTCATCATCTTCTTCCTGGCGTGCCCCCCCTGAGATGGCTCTGCGTGCCATCTCTGGCACGCGTGCCATAGGTTTCGCCATCAGTGACATAAAGACAGACAAACAAACAACTTTTTATTCAGAGCAACAAAAAGGTACAAATCTGCAACAATGTATGTTAAAATCCTTGCAATGTACATTGATCACCTAGAGGGGAATGTTTTTATTTAGAGTAGAGTTACACTCCAAATAATTAAGGGCTTATTTATATGTGCAGCCAGGAGGCAGTAAAAGCAGGCAGTCGAGTGGTTTTACTGCCCCCAACTGCCCACCTAAGCAAAGACATGTAGCTGTTCAGGGCTGCACACATGCAAAGCATTGTGGCAAAAATCAACCCCCAGTTGCATATGACAAGCAGTACCGCTGGTGAAAGCAACTCATAAAAGTTAATGGGCCACACTTTAACCTCTCTGCAACTGTGTACAATGAATGCAGTTGTGGCATGGCGATTCTGCCTTTTCAGGATTTAAACAGAGAAGATTGCTTTTCAGAAGGACAGCAGTGACTGCCACAAGTGAGGTCAGGTCCTAAATCTAGTGCAAGGACCAACATTTGTCCTGCAATCAGCCTCTTTCAATCCCCTATACAACAACACTAAGACTGGAAGGGGGAAGGCCAAACCTGGCAGGCAATGATATGTGCTGCATACAAATATGATGACTGGGAACATATAGATGGGAAGAGGGAGAAGAATCAGCAGAGAGGGATGGGCAAATCAGGCAGGGCTGTGTCTAACTCTGAACATTATGTGCAAAAATACAAATCCTTTGGCAGGTAACACAGTTCCATTATACTGTGAGTATTTTAGCAGCTTGCTTAGAGTTCAGCTTAATTGCACCTTGGAAGCATTTATGTGAACGTGCCATGGCTCTAATGTGGGAGGAAGGGAGGATTATATAGGTGTGCATGGTGTGAGCACATCTGTACAGAATAGAAGGAAATTTCTGAAAGTTTTTACAATAGCAAAATATATAAGTTCACTTACTACACAGCATACTGATTGAGCAGCTAATACAATTTAAGAATACAGCTACCACCTAATGCAACTCTGCTCTCATAATAGCAATTTGATGGCCACAATAAAACAGTAGTACTCATATATTTGCTGGGAAGTAGATCTACAGACTATGAACATCAGATACTTCTGCAGTTCACATACAAAAATATATTAAATGTGAATATAACCTGCCAGTATGTATGTTTAGTTAAAAAGTTTCTCTTGACTGGAAGTCTCATTCAGCCAGTATAAGAATATTTTAGTAGATGAGATTATAACTGCTCTGCAAAACCAAAAGATAGCAATATACTATAATATACAATAATTAGGTTTGGTCAGCCCTGTGCTAGGTGCATGCAAGAGAATGAAGAGCTGCATAATCAGGAAGGTTGGGAAACTACCACCCGCCAAGAAGGTGAAGTAAGTGGAACATTAAATGCAAATAAACCAATGTTCTATTCATCAATTAAGCATTGTAATTTTAATCTATTAGATTATTTGTACATCAGCGACTGTTAAAAGGACTGAAAAAAGGCAATCAAGCTGGTTTATTTTTTGGTAGATAATCTATGTTATTTTACTCTTTATTCTTTGTACAACTCACTGAAAAGGTCATTACAGTACGGGAAAAATGGAAATATAGGAAACCTAGAGAAGAACACAGAAGTAATAAAAGGAAAAAAGGAGAAAAGAAAATATTTCATTTTGATCTCATTTAGATTGATGAGGGAAGGCAAGATGCCTGGTATTGTGAATACTCAGGAGCCTGCTTTGAAACGCCACACAGGCTATCTGTCAGTTTTGACATTTGCCAGAGGGCTGATGGATTGGAGAGTATTCATGAGCTGGGAGGAAAAGCCAGTTTAACTGTATAGAGAACAATTATATCTCAAGGTGGCACACAACTTGGGACTTTTTCAGTGAGGCAAGGAACGATGTGAAAGTATAGAAACTAGAGATGAGCGAATCGAACATGGCGAAGTGGAATTCGTTTCGAATATTGGGAAATATTCGATTCGCGCCGAATCCGAAAATTAGCCAACTTCGGATGCACGAATCGAATTTTCCCAAAAATGGCGGCGACATGTGTGGCGACGGAGCGGGGATCTCTGGGAAAGCGCGCAGACAAGGCGCACTGACCCATAATGCATTCATTCATGACATGTGATCGCATTAGCCAATCAGCAGCCAGCCAGCCAGCACTGTGTAATGGTGGAGCTATAAATTGCGGCCATCTTACAATTCTCCATTAGCCTCCAGTCATTCAAGAGAGACAGACCTGTCTGTATTAGGGACAGAGTTAGGGCCAGAGAGACTTTAGGGCCACAGAATCGTTACTTAGGGACACAGAATCGTTACTCAGGGACACAGAATTGTTACTCAGGGACACAGAATTGTTACTCAGGGACAGACACAGAATTGTTACTCAGGGACACAGAATTGTTACTCAGGGACACAGAATTGTTACTCAGGGACAGACACAGAATTGTTACTCAGGGGACACAGAATTGTTACTCAGGGACAGACACAGAATTGTTACTGAGGGACACAGAATTGTTACTCAGGGACACAGAATTGTTACTGAGGGACACAGAATTGTTACTCAGGGACAGACACAGAATTGTTACTGAGGGACACAGAATTGTTACTCAGGGACACAGAATTGTTACTGAGGGGACACAGAATTGTTACTGAGGGACACAGAATTGTTACTCAGGGGACACAGAATTGTTACTCAGGGACACAGAATTGTTACTCAGGGACACAGAATTGTTACTCAGGGACACAGAATTGTTACTCAGGGACACAGAATTGTTACTGAGGGACACAGAATTGTTACTCAGGGACAGACACAGAATTGTTACTCAGGGACACAGAATTGTTACTGAGGGACACAGAATTGTTACTGAGGGACACAGAATTGTTACTGAGGGACACAGAATTGTTACTCAGGGACAGACACAGAATTGTTACTCAGGGACACAGAATTGTTACTGAGGGACACAGAATTGTTACTGAGGGACACAGAATTGTTACTGAGGGACACAGAATTGTTACTGAGGGACACAGAATTGTTACTGAGGGACACAGAATTGTTACTGAGGGACACAGAATTGTTACTCAGGGACAGACACAGAATTGTTACTCAGGGACACAGAATTGTTACTCAGGGACACAGAATTGTTACTCAGGGACAGACACAGAATTGTTACTCAGGGACACAGAATTGTTACTGAGGGACACAGAATTGTTACTCAGGGACACAGAATTGTTACTCAGGGGACACAGAATTGTTACTCAGGGAGACAGAATTGTTACTCAGGGACACAGAATTGTTACTCAGGGACACAGAAATTGTTACTCAGGGACACAGAATTGTTACTCAGGGACACAGAATTGTTACTCAGGGACACAGAATTGTTACTCAGGGACACAGAATTGTTACTCAGGGACAGACACAGAATTGTTACTGAGGGACACAGAATTGTTACTCAGGAGACACAGAATTGTTACTGAGGGGTGGCACAGAATTGTTAGAGGGAGGACACAGTCAGGAGGCAGACACAGAAGTTGTTAGCCAGGGACCAGAATTGCTTACCAGGTGTCATCCAGCGGTCGTGTCTCCACCGACAACCCTGCCGTCATCGATTGGTTGGCTCGGTCGTCTTCCTCTTCCCAGGTCACCTCTGACACCTACAGCCAATCGGTGGTTACGTCAGACACAACCGTTAGTTGGTTACCCGGGAGCAAGCCCACTGAAATCACGTGTCCTCTACCTGCCCCTGTCCTTTGGTTTCCCTCAGGGACAAGAAGTACTCGCATGCTGTGGGCTCAGCCCCACTGTACAGTGAGGAGAGCTAACAGAGGGCGGTCAGGAACGGGGACAGGGAGACATCCGCCTCTTCAGCAGCCAGGCGAAGAAAGTACTGGCGAGGAGAGTGGCTCGGTAGCCGGTCTAGAGACAGGTCTGTCTCCTGACCCACACGCAGCCGAGGGGGCTAGTAGTGAGGCGGAGACCCTAATTGATGATGATGAGGCTGATCGCACTTTGACAGCCTCGTCGTCATCTGCCAGGCCCGTAATCTGCCATGGGCCCCCGTACCGACTCCTCATGCTGCTGCCAGGCCCGTAATCTGTCATGGGCCCCCTGTACCGCCTCCTCATGCTGCCTGCCAGGTCCAGAGTGTGTCATGGGTCCCTGTACGGCCTCCCATTGCTGGCTGTCTCCATCGCCACACTCTGCCATGTGCCACTTTCAGGTCTCCTCACACTGCTGGTGGGTTCCATTTTGTCATAGGGTGCTGGCAGATTACGGGCCTCCCATTGCTGCTGCCAGGCCCGTAATCTGTCATGGGCCCCTGTACCGCCTCCTCATGCTGCTTCCAGGTCCAGAGTGTGTCATGGGTCCCTGTAAGCGCCTCCCATTGCTGCTGTCTCCATCGCCACACTCTGCCATGTGCCACTTTCAGGTCTCTCACACTGCTGGTGGGTTCCATTTTGTCATAGGGTGCTGGCAGATTACGGGCCTCCCATTTGCTGCTGCCAGGCCCGTAATCTGTCATGGGCCCCTGTACCGCCTCCTCATGCTGCTGCCAGGTCCAGAGTGTGTCATGGGTCCCTGTACGACCCTCCCATTGCTGCTGTCTCCATCGCACTCTGCCATGTGTGCCACTTTCAGGTCTCCTCACACTGCTGGTGGGTTCCATTTTGTCATATAGGGTGCTGGCAGATTACGGGCCTCCCATTGCTGCTGCCAGGCCCGTAATCTGTCATGGGCCCCTGTACCGCCTCCTCATGCTGCTGCCAGGTCCAGAGTGTGTCATGGGTCCCTGTACGGCCTCCCATTGCTGCTGTCTCCATCGCCACACTCTGCCATGTGCCACTTTCAGGTCTCCTCACACTGCTGGTGGGTTCCATTTTGTCATAGGGTGCTGGCAGATTACGGGCCTCCCATTGCTGCTGCCAGGCCCGTAATCTGTCATGGGCCCCTGTACCGCCTCCTCATGCTGCTGCCAGGTCCAGAGTGTGTCATGGGTCCCTGTACGGCCTCCCATTGCTGCTGTCTCCATCGCCACACTCTGCCATGTGCCACTTTCAGGTCTCCTCACACTGCTGGTGGGTTCCATTTTGTCATAGGGTGCTGGCAGATTACGGGCCTCCCATTGCTGCTGCCAGGCCCGTAATCTGCCATGGGCCCCCGTACCGACTCCTCATGCTGTGACGTTGCAACAAGGTGGAATTCAACCCTACATATGTTAGACCGCCTTTACGAACAGCGAGAGGCCATCACCGATTTCCTGATGTTACAAGCGGATAAAGGTACTCCCCTGTGTAACTTAGATGTCAGCCATTGGCAGCTCATGCGTGACACCTGCCGCTTGCTCAGGCCCTTTGAGGAGGCCACGCTATTCGTGAGTCGGCAGGACTATGGGGGATGAACGACGTCATTCCTCTGTTGCACGTCCTGGAACAAATGCTGTTAACAATGGCTGGTCAGGGTGCGGTAGACGTGGCGCACAGATCTCAACGCCACATGACCCCTGTGGGGGCAGGACAGGAAGAAGAGGAGGAGGTAGAGGAGGACATTGGTGCTCAGGAATTATTGAGTGAAATGGGTGGTTTTTCCACTCAGCGGACAGGAGTGGAGGAGCAGGAGCATCTGGTAGAGGAGGAGGAGGAGACAGAGGACCCAGACGCACCGTGGCAGTATGCTGTGGAGATGGAGGCAGGGAGTCCCTCGCATTCCTTGGCACAAATGGCCCATAGCATGCTCGGTTGCTTGCGTAGCGACAGCCGAATAATAACCATCAGACAGAGGGATGACTTTTGGCTGTCCACCTTGTTGGACCCTCGCTACCGTTTCAAAAATGGTGGCCTTTTTCACACCTGCTGAGAGGGAGGCCAAAATAACGTACTATAAAAACCACCTATGTAGTCAGTTGGTCTCTGCCTTTCTGCGCCAACGTCCATCCTCAGACACTGTGGGCCCTGTGCGCTCGCGTTCCGCTGCCATGGCAGCAGGGGAGGGGTGGGGGGTGGTAGGAGCAGTGGCAGCTCCACCAGCAGCGGCTGCCTCAGTCTGCAGTCGATGATGAGTAGCTTTCTTCACCAGCGCAGTGAGGAAACTACTAACCAGCCAGCAGCAGCAGCAGCAGCATCAGGTGGACCTGGAGCAGGACCTCAAACAACAGGCTTGGGCCTACTTGGACAGCACCCTGCCAACCGAGGTAGACAATCCCCTTGACTACTGGGCAACGAAACTTGACCTTTGGCCCCAACTAGCTGAATTTGCCCTTGAAAGGCTGTCATGCCCGGCCAGTAGCGTGGCATCGGAGCGCGTGTTTAGTGCGGCAGGAGGTATTGTAACTCCGCGGAGGACACGACTGTCCACCCAAAGTGTGTGGAGAGACTCACGTTTGTGAAAATTAATCAGGCGTGGATTAGTCTGGATTTCAAACCACCAGTTCCTGACACAACTGACTAAATCCGCCATGAATCATGCCCCAAACATGTTATTATTTTTAACATAGGCCTCTGTATGGCCTTCAATTTAAGCTGCTTACGCTTCGCCACTCTGCCATGGGCCCCTGTACCGCCTCCTCTTGCTGCTGCCAGGTCCAGAGTGTGTCATGGGTCCCTGTACGGCCTCCCATTGCTGCTGTCTCCATCACCACACTCTGCCATGTGCCACTTTCAGGTCTCCTCACACTGCTGGTGGGTTCCATTTTGTCATAGGGTGCTGGCAGATTACGGGCCTCCCATTGCTGCTGCCAGGCCCGTAATCTGCCATGGGCCCCCGTACCGACTCCTCATGCTGCTGCCAGGCCCGTAATCTGTCATGGGCCCCTGTACCGCCTCCTCATGCTGCTGCCAGGTCCAGAGTGTCTCATGGGTCCCTGTACGGCCTCCCATTGCTGCTGCCAGGCCCGTAATCTGCCATGGGCCCCCGTACCGCCTCCTCATGCTACTGCCAGGTCCAGAGTGTCTCATGGGTCCCTGTACGGCCTCCCATTGCTGCTGTCTCCATCGCCACACTCTGCCATGTGCCACTTTCAGGTCTCCTCACACTGCTGGTGTGTTCCTTTTTGTCATAGGGTGCTAGCAGATTACGGGCCTCCCATTGCTGCTGCCAGGCCCGTAATCTGCCATGGGCCCCCGTACCGCCTCCTCATGCTGCTGCCAGGTCCAGAGTGTGTCATGGGTCCCTGTACGGCCTCCCATTGATGCTGTCTCCATCGCCACACTCTGCCATGTGCCACTTTCAGGTCTCCTCACACTGCTGGTGGGTTCCATTTTGTCATAGGATGCTGTATGGCCTCCCATTGCTGCTGCCTCCACCGCCACACTGTGGCTCCACACTCTGGTTTTGGCCCCGTGACTGCCCAAATGAGTGAAGTGTGCGGTGATTCTAAGATCGACGGCACTCATCTGCATGTCATACTGACTGACAGTATTATTTCTCTTCCCCAGCAGACTCCAAGGGCATTTAAATTAAAGGTACAGTGTTCTGCACTAATATAAAGGCTCTCTGAAGCCTAGAAACACCCTTTTTATAAGTTAAATTCGCAGCGAATATATTCGACTCGAATCGAATTTATTCCGCGAATTCGCCGAATCAGCCGAATCGAATTTTTGAATACTTCGCTCATCTCTAATAGAAACATCTACCATCCAATTGTAAATTGTTGCAGCTTATCTTGTTGTACAGCATACTTTATCTGTCAAAGATCTAATTTCAGTAAATTGAAATCTATCTTTTTATTAGTATTTGGGTTTAGATACACTTTTACACTCAACTCAGGACTCCTAACTCTCCCCACCATAACCCCTTTCCACCTAAACCCATTGTACCCATGGTACAGTATGTTTCACTTTTTAAAATTTATAGTGCTTTTAACCGCTTCCATACCGGGCACTTCCTGCACTGGCCATTTTTCAGGTTTCAGCGCTCTCACATTTTGAATGACAATTGCGTGGTCATACAATACTGTACCCAAACTAAAACGTTATCATTTTCTTCTCACAACTAGAGCTTTCTTTTGGTGGTATTTAATCAACACTGGGGTTTATATTATTTGCTACATTAACGAAAAACCCCCAAAAATTTTGGAAAAAAACACGCATTTTTCTTTGTATCTGTTATACAAACGCTCCTTCAGCATCACCTATAATGCTGCTACCTCGCCCTCTCTGTTGGGGTCCCCCAAGGCTCTGTCCTCGGGCCCCTTCTCTTCTCCATCTACACCTCCTCCCTTGGCCAACTGATACACTCCCATGGCTTCAACCACCAGCTCTACGCCGATGACACAAAATCTACATCTCTACTCCTCGCCTCACCCCTTCAGTCTCCACCCGAATCACCCGCCTACTGAATGACATATGAGACTGGATGTCGCTCCACTTCCTCAAATTAAACCTTTCCAAAACCAAGCTCATAATTCTCCCCCCAGCCCGCGCCCCCCCCCCCCCCCCCCCTCTCCATCACAACCAACAACTCCACCATCAGCCCCACCCTGCAAGCCAAAGTCCTAGGTGTCACTCTAGACTCAAACCTGTCCTTCCAACCCCATGTCCAATCGCTGGCTAACTCATGCAGGCTCCACCTCCGCAACATCTCCAAAATACGTACATTCCTAACCCCTAAACAGCTCATTCACTCCCTTATTATCTCACGACTTGACTACTGCAACTCCCTCCTCACCGGCCTACCTCATCACAGACTATCCCCGCTTCAGTCTATCCTGAACTCAGCGGCCAGACTCATCCACCTCACCAACCGCTCCGTATCTGCCACCCCCCTCTGTCATTCCATCCATTGGCTTCCGATTGCCCAACGCATTAAATTCAAACTACTAACATTGACGTACAAAGCCATTCATAACACTGCCCCAAACGACCTCACCGACCTGATACCCAAATACCACCCAACCCGTACTCTTCGCTCCTCACAAGACCTCCTACTTTCTAGCTCCCTGGTCTCCTCCTCCCACGCCCGACTACAGGACTTCTCCAGGACTTCCCCCATCCTCTGGAACACACTACCCCAATCCATCAGACTGTCACCTACCCTCCTCACCTTTAGTTGCACCCTGAAAACCCATCTCTTCAGGGAAGCCTACCCCACCCTCACCTAACATCCGATCTCCTCCTACCACTCCATCCCCCACAGCCACTTCCTCCTGTACCACTATCCCCTCCCTCCTAGATTGTAAGCTCGAAAGAGCAGGGCCCTCGAACCTCTCGTATATTGTTTTGTTACTGTATTGTCTCATGTACTGTCCCCCACTATATTGTACAGCGCTGAGCAAACTTTTTGGCGCTATATAAACACTGTATAATAATAATAATAATAATCTGTTATAAAAGTTTGCAAATAAATAATTGTTCTTCATAAATTTAGGCCAAGATGTATTCTGCTACATGTCTTTGGTGAAAATAACCCAAATTAGGATGCATTATTTAGTTTGTAGGAAAGTTATAGAGTTCACAAACTATGGTATATATCTGAATATTGATCAATGCTGAAGTACTGACAGCCAATCTAATTTCTTGAGGTCCAAGAATGTCAGAACAGTACAGATATCCCCCAAATGAGCACTTTTTGCAAAGTAGACAGTCCGACATATTTCATAAGAGGCATGGTGAGTTTTTTGAAGTTGTTATTTTTTTGTCATAATTTTTTGGCAAATTAAAAAAAAGTCACTTTTTTTTTTTTACATACTGTCACCAGTGCCGTACAGCGTCATCAAATAACTGGCATTGCGGTGATCAGAGACACTGACTTGTGACAGTGTGAAAAAAAAATGTATAATTTTTTTTTTTTTATTAGTTTTAATTTTTTATTAAGTTTTTTTTCTCTTTTTTTAAATTTTTTTTTCATATTTCACTATGACCAAAGTAGTATAATGTTACCATTTTTTTTTTTTTTTTTTACACAATTTGCTTATAGCAAAGAATTACTTTGCTATTAACAAGCATTTACCTGAATGACATCGATTCATTCAGGGTTTTTTTTGTGCTTAGCTGTGATTTGGCCATGGCTAATCACATGACACAGCTGGGCTGTGATTGGCCCAGCTTGTGCATGGGATCGCTGTGACCATTCACAGCTAGACACACTAGTATACAATGGATGGCATGAAAGGAAGCCATCCATTGTATACAACTGTCATGTGACCTGCTGTGATTGGTCACAGCAGGTCACATGGTACTGGAAATGGGGTCAGTACACAGATCTGTCATCGGCCGTGTCCGAGGTACATGGCTGGTGACAGATCGCACCGCCGAGGTATTTTGCCGGCCGCCTTTGTGCTATTGGCCGGACGGGAACCGGTTAAACAGTATTCATACCCCTTCAAATTTTCCAAATTTTGTCATGTTACAACCAAAAACATAAATATATTTTATTGGGATTTTATGTGATAGACCAACACAAAGTGGCACATAATTGTGAAGTGGAAGTAAAATTCTAAAGGGTTTTCAACATTTTTTACAAATAAGTATCTGAAAAGTATGACATGCATTTGTATTCAGCCCCCTTTACTCTGATGCCCCTAATTAAAATCTAGTTGAAACTATTCACTTCAGAAGTCACCTAATTAGCAAATAGAGACCACCTGTGTGTAATTTAATCTCAGTATAAATACAGCTGTTCTGTGAAGCCCTCAGAGGTTTGTTAGAGAACATTAGTGAACAAACAGCATCATGAAGGCCAAGAAACACAACAGAAAGGTCAGAAATAAAGTTGTGGAGAAGTTTAAAGAAGTATTAGGTTATAAAAAAAATATCCCAAGCTTTGAACATCTCACAAATCCAAAAATGGAAAGAGTATGGTACAACTGAAAACCTACCAAGACATGGCCGTCTGCCTAAACTGACAGGCCGGGCAAGGAGAGCATTAATCAGAGATGCAGCCAAGGGGACCATGGAAACTCTGGAGGAGCTGCAGAGATCCACAGCTCAGGTGGGAGAATCTGTCCACAGTACAACTATTAGTTGTGCACTTCACAAATCTGAACTTTATGGAAGAGTGGAAAGAAGAAAGCAATTGTTGAAAGAAAGCCATAAGAAGTCCCATTTGCAGTTTGCGAGAAGACATGTGGGGGACACAGCAAACATGTGGAAGAAGGTGCTCTGGTCAGATGAGACCAAAAATTTACTTTTTGGCCTAAAAGCAAAATGCTATGTGTGGTAGAAAACTAACACTGCACATCATCCAGAACACCCCATCCCCATTGTGAATCATGGTGGTGGCAGCATCATGTTGTTGGGATGCTTTTCTTCAGCAGGGACAGGGAAGCTGGTCAGAGTTGATGGGAAGATGGATGGAGCCAAATACAGGAAATCCTTAGAAGAAAACCTGTTAGAGTCTGCAAAAGACTTGAGACAGGGGCAGAGGTTCAGCAGGACAAACATCCTAAACATACAGCCAGAGCTGCAATGGAATAGTTTAGATCAAAGCAAATTAATGTGTTAGAATGGCCCATTCAAAGTTCAGACCTAAATCAGATTGAGAATCTGTGGCAAGACTCGAAAATTGCTGTTCACAGACACTCTCCATCCAATCTGACAGAGCTTGAGTTATTTTACAAACAAGAATGGGCAAATATTTTGCTCTCTAGATGTGCAAAGCTTGTAGAGACATCCCCAAAAAGACTTGCGGCTGTAATTGCAGCGAAAGGTGGTTCTTAAAAGTATTGACTCAGGGGGACTGAATATAAATATATGCCACACTTTTCAGATATTTATTTGTAAAAAATTTTGAAAACCATTTAACAGTTTCCTTCCACTTCACAATTATGTGCCACTTCGTCTTGGTCTGTCCCATAAATCCCAATAAAATACATTTATGTTTTTGGTTGTAACATGACGAAATTTCAAGGGGTATAAATACTTTTTCAAGACACTATATTTAGTATGCTGATTATGTTTTCATTATAAGCTGTTGACAAGACAAAAAGCTTTTGTAAAAATTACATTTAAAGTTTACATGTTTGCATGGAACATTGCAAGGCTAAAACTGAAGTTCCCCAAATACACAGAAAATTGACTCTGCATCAGTCCTTTAAGAAAGCCAATCCTGCATACAGTCTCTTAGAGAAAGCTTTCTTGCCTGCTGCCTATTTGCCAAGATGTGGACATTATTATGTTTTTTATTTATATAGCGGCATCATATTCCATAGCCTTTTACAAGAAGATTGACAGCTAGGGAGTCTAGGCACAGTGGGAACACAATTTTTATGTTGTGTGCACTCAGAAAGTCAAACAGAGGTGGTTTTTAAGCTTGAACAATTCCATCCATGCAGAGCTCTAATCATAGACCCTCTCGTATAACTGTCAGCTTTTAAAAGTCTCAATAGCTGAGCGATCTGGTCCAGCTCGGCAAATGCTAAAATACTCCCTTCATACAAAACAGCTTCATCTCGCTCCCTTATTCCAGAAGTAAATCCCTGGTGTTAGTACTGGTGAAATCAGAGAAAAAAAAAAATTGGGGTTCTTGTAGATTCTAATGTCTGTATGTT